ACATATAGTTTTTGTGATTAATCACTATGCTTTGATTATGTTCAATTTGTAACCATGACATTGGGGGTCACCACAACATGAGGAACTGTATTAAAGGGTCGCGGCATTAGGAAGGTTGAGAACCACTGCTCTAGAGGCTCTCGAGGAGAATCTGTGGCCTTGCCTGTCCCAGCTCCTAAGGGCTGCCTTCTTTCCTTGGCTCCTGGCTCCTTTCTCCATCTTTAAAGCCATCAGCAATAGAGCATCTCCAAATCTCTCTTTCTCTCTGTCAACACATCTCCTTTAACTCTGACCCTCCTCTCTCCCTCCTGTAAGGGCCTTTGTGTTTATATTGGGCCTACACAGATTATCCGTAAAAAATTCCCTATCAATAAATCCTCAATTTAATCACAACTGCAAAGACCCTTTTACCACGTAAAATTACATAATCACAGGTTCTAGAGATTAGAATATGATCACCTTTGGGGGTTGGGAGCATTCTTCTCTCTACCACAAAATCTTGTAACAGATGTGAAGAATAAATGGATTTTCTTTTAAGGATAACTTGGTAACAGAACGTAGAGTTTAATTCAGACTCTGTCTTTTTTAGAATGTATGAACCACCACATTTGGAAGGCTTTTCTTTTACAGACATGAGGACAGAAGGTATACTGAAGTGTGTGTGGCTTGGATTGAATTTTTACACAATTGCCCTAAATTGCTATATTTAATCAATAATTATATGATGTCTTGATATGAGGCATTACTATCCATCATAGGCTTCTATCAGCTTTCTAAAAGACCTCTCCTTCTTTTAAGTTTTGTCCTTCTACCTTCAGTTTCCAATATGCTGCTATTGTACCTGAGGAGGAAACCTGTCTTACCACATACACCAGGATATTTATAAAGTCTTATTCATAAGATTCTAGTCCCGAAGACAGGGGGCAGTCTTTATTCTTTTTCTAACATCCCTTTGTTCCTCAATCCATTTGAACATCAAAATTTTGCTCAATTACCTCTAGGATGCAGCTATATTTTGGAAATTTGAACTTGCCAGAAATCTATAAACCTTATAATTCAATTTGTTATTATAAGCTATATGTTCAAATTTATTTTCCAGTTATATTAGGCAAACTCTTGTATTTCAATATATAATTTTGTATTTGGTTAAAAAATAATTAGATAAGTTATGTTTATTGATCAAAATATATACTAATGAAATGGTAAGGTAGGCATATTTTGTATTTAAATTAACTCTCCATTACCTGACTCTCTCTCCCTCTCTCTTTGTGGTAAAAATACTTAATGTGAGATCTACCGTCTTAAAACTATTTATGTATGCAATACCGTATTTTGAACCACAGGCAGGATGTTGTACAGTATATCTCTAGAAGAAATTAATCATCTTGCATAATAGAAATTATTCATCTTGCATAACTGAAACTTTAAAATCTTTGAATTGCAACTTCCTCATTTCCTCCTCCCCCAGCCCTTGGTTACCACAATTCTAATCTCTGCCTCTATGTATTTCATTATTATATGCATTTCAAAATACAAGCAATAAAATGTTTAGACAAAATTGGCCTTTTTGATGGTTTTGAATAATTTGATCTATTTTGATAAGTTCTTTGAGATATCTTTAATTGGCTAGCCAGATTGTACTGATTCAAATGCTACTGCAATACCATCCTCTTAAGTGACATTTAGCTAGCATATAATTTACCACCATCATTTCATATTTACCATTCAATAACTAAAGCATACTCAAAATGTTTATCAACATTTGTATTATATTTTAAAAGTATGAATATATATTAATCTATTATCTATCTATCTATCTATCATCATTTTTCATACTGGATCTCGTCTCCTGCTAACATTTCTGCTAAGACTGTTTCCCATCAATATAGAAACCAACTCTACTGAAGCAACTTTTTCTGACCCAGGGGCTCTGAAGAAAGCCCCAGAGTTCAGGCACATTTCTCTCCTGACTTGAGACACTGAGCAGGTTAAACTATGCTTTTCAGAGGGCCTGTAACTCATATTCCTAATGGGCTGGGGCTGCTGCATTATCAACATAGGTTGTCTTGAACAGAGTTGGCTTTGAAAACATTGGAACTGTTTCAGATCCTCCACCTCCTGATTCCTCATCACATGAATGCAGAGCAATGATGAACAACCAACATAATTAATTAATTAAATGTTTTTCTCTTCTAGGAAAGGCTCTTTATTCAAGTCCATTATAATCTCAAAGTGTTGCGGATGATTATATAATACAGGGTCTCTGAAAATAAGGACATCAAAGTTCCCTCTGTGTCAGCCACACTGGCAAGGTCACTTGTAGAGAGTCTACTTGGGTGGAAGCTGAAAAACTCCCACCTGTACTCTTATCATTTTATATTTTAATTCTTAATATTCTGATAGTTTTTGAATAAGTTACCAACACGGGGAAAGTAATTTTTTTATACATATACACATTTTAATTTCAAACAATTACAGTTTTAGTTTATCTTTGTTTTTCACTGATACTTGAAAACTGTGTCAATATTTGTTTAATATTGCCAAACAATTTTCATTGGTATGGCATAATACACCATTAAACTTCTTCAGATAGGAAGAAATATTACAGATGATAAATTGATTCAAGTTCACACAGACAGTCCTCATTCAGAAAATAAAAGCCTTTAATCCAATTCACCAATGTTAAACCTTCTGTAGTCCATAATAATTTTACTTTAAGCTTTTATATATTTCCTCCTTTTTTTGAAAACTAAAAAATATTTTTATCCCTAGCTTTCTAAATAATATTTTGAGCCCCTTGAAATGTTTTTTCTAAGTATACATCTGTCTACTTTTGTATTCTTGAAAATTTTATGTGCTAAGCATAAAAAATATGTTTAGAGATTGAATTATATAAAAAATTGTAAAAATATTTAATTTCTATTATGGGACTTCAACTGTAGTCAGAAATTTAATCTGAAAATTTACAAATATATAATAAACAAATATGCAAATAAGTAAGTATAAATTTTTAAAATGTTTCATCTGATTCATAGGAGCTAAGTGAACCATGAAATGTGGAAATCTGAAATAAATGAAATTGAGAAGCAATTTCCAATATACCCAGGGAAACAAATAAGTTTTTTTATGTTTTTTATTTGTTGTCATTATGTGTTTTTTTTCTAGCTATCTAGATTGTGTCTTCAGTGATGGATTATATGACAAAATAATCCTCACTGATCTCCAGTCTGAATGTTGAATAAATTAAACTTGTGGATACTTATGAAAATTTCATGTGGTATGTTACTGCCCATGCTTCTCTTTGGCCATTTTCTCTGCTTTTGTTGTCTGGTAATGTTCAAATAAATCCCTATTGCCCATTAGTTGTGAAATTTTTAAGGGTAGATACTATATCTTAATCCATCTTTTCATTTCCAAGATCTAGCACAGGAAGCAGCTTAAAATAGTCGGCAAGTTGTTGAATGATTAAGTGACTTTGGGGGAAAAATCACATGAAGAACTGAATATTAATAAATCTGTCAGAAAAATGACCTAACTTCAAATCTTTTCCTAAGAATCTTTTCCATTCATACTGCCACTTCTGTACTTATCTTTAATGGAATGAAAGTTAAAAGAAGAGGCTATCTAGTTTGGCTTTGAAATTGAAAGAATCAAAAAATAAGAATATCTTTATGAAATAGAAGTGATATTTTGAAGTGGAGCTTGAAAAAATAGGAATTTGAAAGCAGATATTAGAGTACTTAGATCGGAAGGAAAAACAGCCTGATTGCCCCTAACTGCCCTCCCCTACCAGCCTGGTCATCCCTAACTACCCTCCCCTGGCAGCCTGGTTGCCTCTAAGTGCCCTCCCCTGCCAGACTGATCACCCATAATGTCCTCTCCCTTGGCCCCCACCACCGTGGCTTTGTCCAGAAGGACGTCCGGATGGATGTCTGAAAGATGTCTGGTCTAATTAGCATATTACCTTTTTTTTAGTATAGATAACATATATGCCCCTAAAAAGTTATATTTTTTTACATGCTTTAAATTATACAGTACATTTTCAACCTCTTTTACCTGTTATTTTTTTCTCTAAATATATCGATTATTTTAACGGAGAGGAAGGGAGAGGGATAGAGAATTAGGAACATCAATGAGAGAAAAACATCGATCAGCTGCCTCCTGCACACCCCCAACTGGGGATGTGCCCACAACCAAGGTACATGCCCTTGACTGGAATCGAACCTGGGACCCTTCAGTCTGCAGGCTGATGACCTATCCACTGAGACAAACCAGTTAGCCCCCCCCCCCCCAACCCACTATTTTTTTTTTTTTTTAGATTATCCACATTTGTAGATATGGCATTACTTCATTTTTCCATTGATTTTTAGAGAGAGGGGAAGGGAGAGGGATAGAGAGAGAGAAACATCAATGTAAGAAACATCCCTTCAGTTGCCTTCCTTAGGAGCCCTGACCAGGGATCCAACTTGAAACCCAGGTATGTGCCAGGTATGTACCCTGACCTAGAATCGAACCTGCAACCTTTCCGTGCACAGGACCACACTCATGCTCAACCAACCTATCCACTTCAGCCCGGCCATTATAAGATTTCTGGAATTTTATTTCAATTAATTCTTTCAAAGTCTGTGGGTTAGGTAATATTCACATTTTGCTGATGAGAAAAAAACCCCCAAAAACCCAATCTCTTGATTTTGAGACATTATTCTTCACTCACTGCCACGTTTTCCTGCCAGCCCTAGAAAGGCTCCTGACAGCAGTTTCACTGGGTATCCAGAGTCAGAAGCATTCTCCTCACCACCACCCTTCCAAAGCCTCCTCTGCACTGGCACTGAGGCTGCTCTAGAGGGCGCCGAGGCTAGGTAATGCAGACAATGACAGGATATGGACCACTGGAGCCACCATACCCACCTCTCCTCTCTCAGCCTTTCTCTGCTGCGCTGGAGATAGGCCATTCAGACACAGGAAGTGCTGCAGTTTTTCCCTCTCCAGAGCTGCTGCCACCGCCTGGAGGTAATAGGGCTGCACTGGAAGTCCTCTGCATGCCTCCCGTCCAGGCGAACATGGTGGTGGACTCGAATGGAACTGTTATTTTTAGATACTTTAAATACCCCAGCGCTGAGGTAAGACTCTGCTTCTTGATTCTGACTCTGCTTCTAGACTGTGGGACATGTACAAAAAATCCTTAGGCATGCCTCCCTCCTGCCGGTGGCCTTAAATTCCGCACGTACATACCCCCTCCCCCCAGCTGGGTGTGGGCACCACGTCTGCCAGAGAGAATTGGTGGCCAGGACATTTCCCTGCATTATCTTAGGCTCCTGCGTCTTTGGTTGAGGTGGCTGTTCTGCTTGATTTGCTCCCCAGCCCCTTAACCCTGTCAACTTTGGGCCTTGAAAATACCTTGGTTCTCAGGTTTAGCTTAGGTGGTGTTTGGGAGGGTCTCAGACTGCCTGTGTTTGACAGCAATTCCAGAGACCGAGCAGGTCATGATGGCTTCGTGATTCCTAAATCCCTCCTCCCAGGTCCTTTTTCTAATGGGAGTTAGGTTGCCCAGATGTGACACTCATTCGGTTTAGGATTCACCCATTAGGACATGACATATTTGCATGGAATGGCTTTTGTGGGGAGGATGCCTGTGAGGAGGGGAATCAGCAGTGAATGGAACCAACGGGCAGATTTGTAACCCCCAGACCACAAACCTCGGCGCACTCCCCGCATGTCTCCCTTGGCAGCAGGCCTGGGAATATGGGAGGCTTGGAAGGTAAGCCTCCTGCCCCCTCCGTGGCTCCCTGGCTCCGGCAGGCGTGGCTATCTTTGTGGCTATGGGCACCGCCATCTTTGTAGTGGAGTGATGGTTAATTTGCATATTAACCTTTTATTAGATGGGATTTATTTTTATTTTATTCAATTGGGTGGTTAGCCTGTATGTGAATATTATTCTGAATACAGGAGATCATTTCCTCTTTTACTATTGGCCCAGCAGTACATGATCTTATTTTTCACTATGGGTAGACTTTTCTGCTCTTGAAATATTATTTTTTTTAAAAAACAATGTTTATGAATGTATTTTTAAAGGAGAGATCATTATCTATACCCTTATTGGCCTTTGATTCACCTATTTGCATCTACTCCAGGTGAATGAATGTGTGCGTGTCTTACTGCTTGATTCCTTAAAAGTCAGAGCCATCTTTATATTTTAAACCCTCACTTAATGAAATGCAGATAATACCAAATGGGTTTCCTCACATGTTAGTGAACTGCACCTCAAAACGACTAGTTTTAGTTTGATTCAGATTTAGAGGTTTGAAGACCCAGTATACCTCAGGATGAAGTGGTTTCAATGGGTTTTTCAACTCAGAACAATTTTTGGTATGGTATGTTTAATTTTATAGGCTCAGAGAAAGCAAGATCCACCTTGGATTTGGAAAGGTCCCTCGGGTCATATTGTAACATTTTCTTATACCTCTGTTCAAGACCACTATTGAGGAATAAAACTATTCGTTCAATTCCTACCTACTCTAAAATGGAATTGAACTGAGACTTATTCCTCAAAGGTGAACCAGAATAAGGCCATTCTTGAAACATCAGAGTTAGGTACCATTACTCTCAGCATTATTTTATAGACCATTAAAAAAACAACACTCATAAGAAGTTAAAATAAAATAAAGAAAGGTCGTTTTCCAGTCTTGTCATCATATTCTCATCGCTAGTGACTTTGTAACAGAAACTGAAGTTCTTTCAGAGTAAACTGTGTACAAACAATCTAAAGAAATGGTACAATACCAGGAAAGCTATTTCAAATTTAGCCTCCTGGAGTTTTAAGCATTTCATATTTTCCCCTTCCCTTTCCTGGTTTAGATGTTCTCTGCACTGGGCTCTCGATGCCGATTCTCTAGCAAGGTCAGCTGCTGACCCAGGCCGCATAAGCTGTTGTTCCAGCACTTTGGCCATCAGCTTCCTTCCCTCCTCTGACACTCGCTTTCATCTGCCCTGCAGCCAGCATTTACCAGGCATGAAAAAGAAACTCCTCAGATATGACAGGTAGAAAGGCTGCCACTTACACTGAGAGCACTTTGGGTCCTTAGAAAAAAGCAGGGAGGATTCAAAGGAGGGGAAATCCTCCTTATGGCTTTGTTGCTAACTTAGATGACTGTTTATCCATTGTCTTCACAGCTGTTGTTTTTTCAAATAAATAAGTGTGGGGAAAATTGTGTGAACTAGATTCCCAAGGTGAAAATATTTTTCCTCACTGTATTCTCTATTTCCGTGTTAATTAAGTTTAACATAAATTTGCAATGAAATAACGTGGACCCCTGACAAGACCTTGAAGTTTGAACTTTTTATCATTATTCTATTATCTTCTCCATTAGGGTGGGCTCCTGTGTAACTATGCCTGCAGGGAAGAGATACTGCTCCAGCAGGCATTGCTATTATTTGGGGTTATAATATATTCCATTTATGGGTTATTTTGCATTTCTCTCCTGGAGATGATAGCAATATGGCCTTGAAATATTATTTAGGAGAATCTCCTGTTTATTATACATGGTGAAGAGAAGAATTCTGCTTGCACTGGTCAGTCTATCATGTTTGTGGTTACATTTACTCAGCAACTATTTATTGGAAGGTTGGCTTAGTTTACTGATATTTTCTCTTAACAATTTAGATGAGAATAATGGTAATCATTACATAGGAAAGGTGGTTCCGGATTACCCAGAGAAGTGTGAAATTTTGTTGACATTTCCTTACATGCCAGAGCATAGGGGCAAGTATCACAGACTGAGATGTACAACAGGCCTGATACTCCAGAGATGTTTTTGACTCTTAGATCCCCCACTGCCATGCTCATGAGCAAGACATCTCACTTCCTCACACTTAGACTCTGTAACAAAATGGAAGGGCTTGGCTATCTCCAAAGTCTTTCTTTAAAAAAAAGAAAATGCCTAGCAGTGTCAAACATTTAGATTGTGACAGATCCTTTCTCAGGAATGTGAATGTATGATTAAAAGGTATGGGTTAAATAATTTGAGGTATGATTTTGCATATCTCTAAGCCTAGACTCCTCTTTGAAAAAATAAATAAGGTGAATCTGACATAAATATATAAATGGAGCTTCTGCCATCAGTATTATTTTTACATGAATTGGTTGAATTGAGTTGCCACCACCCAAGGGAGTTGAGTCACCTGTCATATAAAGTTGGGTGGTGAGAGTAAAATGTTGTATGCTAGGTGAAAATAAAGGGAATACTTCAGAAAATAAACATTTGAATGATAAACTATTCTCATGGAGGATATGGATGGTTTTACGGGTCAACTTGACTGGGCCATGCAATGCCCAGACATTTGGACTGACATTATTCTGGTGTTCCTATAAGGATGTTTTTAGATGAGATTAACACTTAAATTGGTAGAGTGAGTGAAGTAGATTGTCCCTCTCTAATGTGGGTGAGCCACACCCAGTCTAGCATTTAAATAAAGAAAAAGGTAAGAGAAAATTCTTCCAGCTATAAAACTGGGACATCGTTTTTTCCTGCTTTCAGACTCAAACTGAAACATTGCCTCTGTCAAGGTCTTAAGTCTGTTCTGCTTTCTGGAACTACACCATAAACTTTCCTGTTTCCCAGGCCTTTGGACTCAAGCTGAAACCACATTATTAGCTCTCCTGAGTCTCCAGCTTGCTAACTCATCCTGCAGATGTTGAGACTGAACAGTCTCTATAATCCTGTGAGTCCATTCCTTATAATTGATATTTTTCTATATAGTCTAGTAATTCCACATTTAGAATATATTATGCATATAATACATGTATATTTGCATAAATACTGTATATACATATTCTGTTCTCTGGAAGATCCTGACTAATATAATGGTTGAAGATAATATAAAAAAACATTCATATATTTTTTAAAACTCCTCTGTTTTACATAATGTTATTAAACACAAAAAGAATGGAATTAATACAACTGATTGTGATTTTTCCCTTGATTCCTTAGAGAAATTTTTAGGCTTGCCTTATTTCTTTATAACCCAGGGTGAAAAAAATCTATCAAAGACAGCAAATTAGTCCCTCAGACAGGCAATGTTGAGCCATTGTGGGTTTCCTTCTCAACTTACCTATTGTGCTATGACAAAAGGACAATGCAGATTGATTATGCCATTATCACACCCTCATTGTGTGCCTCTAGGCTGGATGGCCTATTTGGTATCACTGTTGGGCTTGTCTTTAGAGTTTAATATGTGTTGCATGGCCTCCCTGGCAAACACAACTGCACATGAAAGTGAGTCAGAGGATGTAGTGGGGATATGTTTATCACTTCACTTTTAGAAATCCTGGAAATTTTCTAAATATATTAATTGCTCTCTGACTTTTTCTTAAAAATATGAATAAATCAGATAGGAAAATTGAGGGATAAGGAAGGAGTAGTTGGAGGAAAAGGATGTTTTGCCAGCTCTGCTATAAAAAATAATACAGTACATTTTCAATTGTTAAATAAGAGCTAACATTATTCTTCATTGCTCTATGCAAAATGGTAATAGGGTTACAGGGTGAAAGGAAATATTTTGTAGTATACTAATTCCCCACATTAATTGCAAAGTTTTTCTAAAATTGCTGTCAATGGAACCCCTACATTTTTTGACAAAGAAAAAGCCAAGTTTTCTCATGTCAAGTGGCTGGCTGTAGAGTACAGCCCAATCAGCAAATCAGACCAAGGAAGGTCTCGATGACTCGTCAAAAAGAACAATGCTGAATATCTGAAGTGTTCTGTTGTCACAACATTGACACAGAACCTTGGGAAATGAACTCCTAGCTTAAAATACAGTCCAGAATGAATTAGCCTGGAATACTGATCTTCTGGAAAGGGGTCAGGAATTACTGATGGATAGAGATAAAAATCAAACCTTGGAAAACGAAAAGTAAAGAGACATACACCAGTATTTACCATAATTTCAGAACCATTATGCACTAAGGACTAATAAACAGCTATGGCAGCAGCACAGGCATCAAAAGAAAGGATAGTGGAGGATGAGTCCCCAGCACAAATAGTAGTCCCCTTGGTGTGTAGCAGTAACATCTGAGATAGGTACTGCCAACTGGCAGAGAGGATGGTAAGAAATGTCCCATGGGCCCAAGACAGCTCAATTTCTTCTAATTAACAGAGTAAATCAATCAGTCAATCAATTGATCAATCTTTTCTTCTCTAGGGGGACTGTCAAGGCAGGCAAGTGGGATGTGATGCACCATTCAAACAAATGTGACCCCAGCTGTTGCGACAGCACTTGGGCAACTGGTGCTCTTTGGAAACATGCTGTGGCAGTGTCAACAGGAATTCAGTAAGTGCAGAAGTATTTCCTGGAAAATGTGGATGCACACGATTAAGTGGAAAAGCAGATTCAGCCCAAATCTGGAACTAATGACCATTTATTTTAACTTGGGATCTAATGGCCAGTGTTAGATGGATCACGTGGTAAGGCTCCTCAGTGGTGGCGAACCTTGCCCAGTAACCTGCAAACTCAGCCAGGAAATCCCAACGCTGTCAAGAGAGCAACCACCTGAGCTCTGTCCATTTTATTACAGGACACCATGTATGGTCCGTCCGACTTTGCAATTTGGATTTCTTAGCATCATATTCTTTCCTGTCTAACTTACTTAATAAAGTAGTTAAGCATTTGCTGAGAACTTCTGAGCATAAAAATCAGTGCAAGGATATTCACATGTTTACAAGGTATCACTGCAAGATCACTTATCAATCACAAAAAGAGAAATTTGGATAACACTCAGGCAGATAACTGTGATCTAATTTCATATGATCACACTAACAATTAGACAAAAATTTGGCAAACTGACTTTATGTTTGCAGTGATGTGGTACAATAAAAAATTCTCATCATTATTTAGAACTTTTACCAAAAGCTTTAAAATTGAATTTAAACATGAGAAAACAATCAGACAAATAGAGATTGTTATATACCCTACTAACAATCAGATAAATCTATAATGTGGGATAGCCTATGATGGGACTAGCCTAAACTTTTTCAAAAAATCTCAATGTTGCCCTAACTCAGTGGACAGAGCAGAGGAGAGGGTCCTGGGCTCGATTCCAGTCAAGGGCACATACCTTGGTTGCAGGCTCCTCCCTGGCCCAGGCCCTGGTCAGGGCACATGCAGGAGACAACCAATTGATGTGTTTCTCTCACATTGATAGTTCTCTCTGTCATTTTCTCTCTCTTCCACTCTCTCTAAAAATCAATGGAAAAATATGCTCGGGTGAGGATTAAAAAAAAATCAATGTTATGAAAAAAATAAAAGTGGGAGGATTATTGGTGATTTAAGGGAAATAAGGAGACATGATACTAAAGTAAAACGCATCACCTTGCTTACCTGAATGGAAGGTAAAAAATGCTATGAAGATATTTTGGGGATGATTGGATACATTTGACTATGAAAATTAGAAAATATTTTTGAACAATGTTAAACTTATGGGGTGTGAAACCAGATAATATGCAAAAGACTTAACTGCAATGAAACCAGAGGAAAGAGCACCATAGGACTGGTGGTGAAACAAGTTATGGTCACAAACTTCTCTCATATGGAGAGTTCTCTGACGAGTCTCTGCTATCATTGTAATAGTTTCTCCTGCCCCCAGATTCGGGGGGGGGGGGGGGCGCGGGTAGGACCAACCAGGAGGTAATTACCCGTTCAAAGAGAGAAGGACTAGATCCAGGCTTTTTGGATCCTAAAGTATCACCCTTTTTTAAATTCAGTTTATTGGGGTGAAATTGGTTAACAAAACCATACACATTACAAGTGTGCAACTCAACCAAGCAACATCTGCACACTGCATGGTGCACCATCGCCCAATGTAAAATCTCTTTCCATATCCCTTTGCCCTCCACCTACCCCCACCTCTCTTTCCCTCTGGCTATCACCATACTGTTTGCAGGAAGCTTATACAATTTTTAGAGCTCTATTTAGGAACAAGGGTACAAAATTAGGTAAAGCATTTAACATTTACTAAGAATGAGAAAAATGTTTTTAAAAGTATAAACTAAAAAAACCTGAAATCTACCATTGTCTTAAATAAAATTACCTTGAAATGAATTGTGTAGGAAAAAAAAAATTAGAGGGGCCCTTTGAGGGAGGGAGAACAGCAGAATTAGTAAGAGAGAGAGAAAGTCTGAACTGTGCAGTGTCTGCAATGGAGGCCACGGCAGGCTCCACGAGGAGCACCTGGCCTGGAAAGGACCTTCAGTGTCCTCCCATGTCAAGCAAGAGACAAGGGAGACAGGCTTTTGCACTCTACTAGTGACCTGGTTTTGGACCTGCACTGCCCTGAGAAGGGTCATAATCTTGGTCAGGACAGCTCCCTCCAGACAAAGCAATTCCTAGGAAGTGCTGAAGCTGTGAGCAATCAGCAGCCACTATTCCCAGGAGCTGGAAATATAAGGGATTAGTACCTCCATATATACTGCAAGCCAAAACAGCACAACATTCAGAGAGGAAACCAATATATTTTGATTAATTATCTATCTAACCTTTAGAATACAATGTTTTCGTTTGTATTTTTTTATTAACTGTCTGACCTTTAGAATACAATGTTTATCTTTATTTTTCAATTGCACACTTTTTGATTATCTCTTTATTTGCCAACAATTTGCAATATTATTTTCCTTAGAAAAGACTAAGGGAAGATAATTTAGTCTTACCTTTAGAAGAGCTGTTCAACATTATAGCTTTACTCCTTATAAATTTTTTTATTTGAAAAATTATTTAGACAAATCTCTATCTAGTTTCTTTCATATAAAAACACTAAGGTTTCAGGTATTTCAAGGTGGGCAGAGACTATAATTAAAGGCTGCTTGTATTGTTGCTGCTCATTCACTGGTTAGTATTCAAATGTTACTTATAGTGAGGGTTCTGAATTTTATGTTGGGCCCTGCACCTGCAGGACACAGAGAATCGCAGAGTGGTGGTAGCCATTCCAGAAACCATTTCGACACTGGGGTGATGGATAACTTAACTATAAATGGAAATGACTGCAAAGCATAGATATATACATCTAACTAAACACAAATTAAATTTACCTATAACTTAATTGCATCTCAACAAGGCTTGAGGTCACACAGGGGTTGGTGCAAGTGAGGGCTCTTGAAGTAACTTCAAGGTAAATCTGCTTCCACCTTTAAGGTTCTTACTTCCTGAGGTTTCTGTCTCTTCATTATCCCCCCCCCCCCCTTACCCCCATGATGCTCTCAGTTCACTCACAGTCAGCCTACTCAGTGAACGAACTACCTAAGTGTTACAGAGCGAGGGTCACAAACTCAGTCCTGGGATGTGAAATAGGAGGATCTAAAGTTTCTTAGGTCAGCTTGACCCTAGCTAAAGAGTTGCTTAGTTTCCATCAAGTACTCCAGCCCTTGACCAGTGTCTACCAGGGGTAGGGAATGTCCAGTTGATGCCATATGAAGCCCGAGAAATCACAGTTTGGCCCTGTCAAGGCATTAGGGGTGAGTTAATTAAATGTTTGACCAGATATAGCAGGCTAATTTTTAAACTGATTTTGTATGGCCTGTGAATGATGTTATAAATATCCAAATGGCCTTGGCAGAAAAAAGGTTCCCCACCCCGATCTTGCTATAAACCCAAGCTGCTTTCAAATGTACTTTTCAGTTAGGTCACAATTTTACTTTCCTTCCGGAACTGTTGCTGTTTCTCTGGAGTCAATTACTGTCTAAGCAAGTACAGCATTTTCTGCCTGTACCTTACTGTTCCTCTGTAACTTTCTCTGGGTTTCACAATGAAATCGCTTTTTCAAAGTCACCTGAATTGTGACTCCACAGCTCTTTGTACACTACTCCCAGAATTCTTGGAGCTGGCTGCCTCACATTTCAGGGGAACTTGGCATTTCCTGCTCAGCTCCATTAAGTGTTACACACACACAAATAATAGTTCTCTTTTGTCAGTTCTTCTAAAAGTCCCAAACGCTTTTAGAACACTGATCTCTAATGTCCATTGAATATAATAAAACCTATAAGAACCAATCACCAAGACTGAAGCATGGAACAGACTGAGGAATCTTGGAGGGAAAAGGGAAGGAGGAAAGAGATTAACCAAAATAATTATATGCATATATGCATAACCCATGGACACAATAGTGTGGTGAAGGCCTAGGGTGGAGGGTGAGGGAGCAGAGTGGAGGGGGTCAGTGAGGGGAAAAAGGGGACATCTGTAATACTTTCAACAATAAAGATAAATTTAAAAAGAATTCCAAGGGAGAATCTAAGAGTTGCTGCAAGCAGAGAGCTGACTGTGGCATACACCACTTTCAGAATTATGCTTAGTATCAGATGGCTTTAAGAAATGTAATGAACAAAATAGATCTAGAGATATAGAAGCACTGGACAGACTATGGAACCTCAGAGGGAAGGCAGGGGAAGGTCGGGTGGGTGGTAAGAGATCAACCAAAGAAGTTGTATGCATATATGCATAACCCATGGACACTGACAATAGGGTGTGAAGGCCTGGGGTGGTGGGGAGGGGCTAGAAGAGCTCAATGGGGGGGAAAGGGGGACATCTGTAATACTTTTAATAGTTAGAATTAAAAATCTATAATAATAAAAGCATAATATGCTAATTAGACTGGACAGCCAGATATCCTTCTGGATAAAGCTATGGCGGCTGCGAGGGCTGAGGGCAGGCAGCTGCATCGGAGTGATGGGGGTGGCGCCTTCCCCTGATCAGCCCAGTTGTCTCCCGCAGAGGGAGGCCAGATTGCGGCTTAGGCCATCAGTAGGACATCCCCTGAGGGCTCCCGGACTGTGAGAGGGGGCAGGCTGGGCTGAGGGACCCTGCCACCCCAGTGCACAAATTTTCGTGCACCGGGCCTCTAGTATAATAATAAAAAAGAAATGTAATGAATTACATCACTGAGAGTTTTAACAGTAGAGAATAAAAATATAATTATACTTTATTGAAGGCCCATCAAATTTAAATTCTGTATCAGACACTCAGTATAACAATAGTGTCAAGATAATATTTACCAGGAGGTGGGTATTTGATACCTATCTCTTGCTGACTACGGTAAGATCTTATATGATAACTTTTTAACATTTCTTTTCTTTTGAGTCAATGAATATGTTTAGCATAAGATTAAGAGGCATGGTTATTAATTGACTCATTACTTTTCTTCTTACATTCTCTTAGGTTGCTAATTTCTTGCTCAGTTTCATTTCATAAACTTATCACATCCCTCAAATGTATTATCCTAGATCTAGACATAGGTTGCTTTCAGTGAAGGGCCCTTTTCTCTGAAATTCTTGTTTTCTGTGACATTTTAAAGTCCCATTTTGTCCACCTTTCTTAAGATTGCGTGCAATCACTAAACTTTTTATTTGGGCACCAGATATAGAAAACAATGAAAATAAATGTTTTTTTTAACATAGTTTATGCTGCTTTAACCTGAACTGTAATTTTCTAGGTTAATTTAATTTTAATACTGTTACCCTGAGGCCATTTGTGAGAAAAATCAAAATTAAAAAAATATTTTTTTCTGGCTTTTGTTAGTTTTAATCCTTCCATCACATATCAGCATTATTGACATAAGATATTCCTTCAGCCCTCTACTTAAAAAAAATTCATCCTTCATATATTTGGAGGGTGGGGACTATTGTAGCAAATCTAATGCTATATTCATAAAATAAAGAATATTAGAATAGTAGTTGTTACAATGATAAGCCCTTTAGCAAGTTTAAAAGTCCTTCAAAAGTCAAATAACTTAATTAAGTTATTAACTTAATCAATTAATAATTAAATTCAATTATTTACTGTCTCTTCTATTCTCACCTCACATTACCCCAAATCCCCATATGGCAATTAAGCTCACACTTAAAATCCTTAGGACAAACTCAGAGGTAGAAAAAGGCTGACTTAGCCTGTGTTCCCCTAGGGGGGAGCAAGGGAGAGAAAGAAGGGGACTGTCAGCTTTCTTTACTCTCCTCAGTGCCTCTCACTGATAAGATTCCTCAAGGGCAACAATACTTAATGGGCCTCTGTGTTTAACCTGCCTGTCTCTTTCTTGGGATTCAGTCTATTATGAGTCTCTTCTCTGTCACTTAGCTTCATTTTCTTATTTTATTTTTTAAATTAAATGTATTGGGGTGACATTGGTTAATAGGATTATATAGATTTCAAATTTACATTTCTGTGATGCAAGATCAGTATATTGCACTGTATGCCCACCATCCAAAGTCAAATTATCTTCCATCACCATATATTAGGCCCCCTTCAACCCCCACGCCACTAACCCCTTCTCTCTGGCAACCACCACACTGCTGTTTGTGTCTATAAGTTTCAGTTTTATATCCCACAAATGAGTGAAATCGTATGGTTCTTAGCTTTTTTTTGACTGATATATTTCACTTAGCTTAATATTTTCAAGGTCCATCCATACTGTTGCAAATGGCAGTACAGTATTTCTGTGTATATGTACCACCTATTCTTTTTTTAAAATGTATTTTTATTGATTTCAGAGAGGAAGAGAGAGGGAGAAAGAAATAGAAACATCAATGATGAGAGAATCATTGATTGGCTGCCTCCTGAGGATGAGTCTGCAACCCGAATCGAGCTGTGACCTCTTGGTTCATAGGTCAACGCTCAACCACTCAGCCATGCCAGCTGGGCATTACCACATACTCTTTATCCAATCCGCCATGGCAGAACACTTTAGCTGTTGCCATGTCTTGGCCACTGTGAATAGTGCTGCAATGAAAATAGGGGTGCATATATCTTTGCAAATACATGTTTTCAACCTTTTTTGGTATATACTCAGGAGGGGGATTGCTCTTAGCTTCAGAGGGAAAGCAAGGAATTATTCCTTTTGAGAGGTTGACAGTTAGAGAGTCACTTTACCATGAGACCCTGGGTAGAGGAGTTTAGTTTTATAGACAGGAAAACTGTCTTTTTCTTCATCAACATGTTTAACATTGGGTCACTTTTCCTTGCAACCAGAGTTTGCTTGAGTTTGGCTAGTGGTAGGCTGGAAAATTTGTAACAAATGCGCTTCTCCATAGCAGGATCCCTCTCTCCCCTGACCAAAAGACCTAATTAGAGTTTACAGATGTCTATATTGTAAATACTCCCACTGTGGAAGATATTTCTTTTGGTCCTTCCCAACTTCTTCAAAATGTTTCACATTAAACACCTTAGTTAATCATAGTAATTATGCTTGAAGCTTTATGTGACAGACCTTAGACCTGAAAGAGACCTGACATGAAAAGGCAACGTTGAATAAAACTTCAAAAATTCTACAACTCCTATAGCTGTACAACTACTTTGTTTTATTCTTGACCACCATAATATGCTGTTCAGCTCAACAATTTTAAAGATGTTAAATGATTTTCCCCAAATAACACAATGATTATTAAAGGTCGGGGCTATTAGATAGATCTTTGGTATTGAAATGAAAATTTAAAATTCTTTGTACCTGAGGGAGTGCTCTATAAACTAAAGTTATCTAATTTATCTTGGGTTCTGAAGTCACTATTAGATTTTGAGCTTGTTTATGTCACCTCTTCTATCCCACTTTCTAAATTGAAATTTACATTATATAATTTTGGCATGGCATGTAATGTTCCTAGATGATTAGATAAGGGACCTCAAGGAAAATGGTATGTGTAATTTGTTTTAATTCAGAAGAAAATTTAAATTATCAAAATTTTTCTTATTAAAATGCATAGACATTATAATCTATGCATATATGGTAAATTCTTTTCTTTCTAGATTTTTAATCACTATTACAATCATATTTAGCAATTTCTACTAATTATTAGGTGCCCCAAATCAACAATTTGGCTCTGTTTGGCTTACAGTATAATGTGAGACTTCATAACATTTTATATGGACATATTATATAAAGAGGTGATTATAAACTTCAAAAATTACTCACTCAATAGTTTCTAATGATGTCTTTAGAACTATTATAATCAATTTTATCATATCTTTGGAAATAAATTTTAGGATTGCTGTTTTATAACTGCTTATATTATTTTTCTGACAAAATATTATAAAAATTCTAACAAATTTTTTCATAATGTTAAAATTTTGCAAAAATAAAAATTACTACTTAGGTTATAATAATATAATAGCAATATTTGATCCCAATAATTATATTTAGATATTTTCCAATAATTTGTTTTCCTCTCTCTCCCTCTCTCTTTCTCTTTCTTTTCTGAATAGATATCAGGATTTGAAAGATGCTAAAATCTTTCATGTAATTCCTTTTTCAGTATTAAATACTAAACATTTGATTAATTGTAAAGATTTGAAAGTATATTATAGATACTCTTTTCTCTTTTACTTTTCATTTCTCAGATGCTAGTAAAGTTTTTCACACATATTGGTTTTATGATAAATGTGTTTAAAACATCTCCCATTCTGAATTGCTACCATCAAGATATAGCTGAAGTGAAGATTATTGTTTTGCTTAAGATTTGGCATCATGGTCCTCCTCTTCAGAAAAGATCTACAGTTTACCACTGAGCAATGTGAGGGTTAGAGGTGGTGGAAAATTCAGGTATAAACTTTGGACTTCTCCCAAACTTAACTACTAATAGCCTACTCTTGACTGTAAGCCTTACTGATAACATAAACAGTCAATAAATATATTGTTATATGTATTATTTACCATATTCTTACAATACTAGTAAAGCAAGCTAGAGATAAAAAAATGTCATTAAGAAAACCAAAAGGAGGAGAAAATGTATTTATAATATTTATTTTATAAATCTGCATATAAGTGTATCTGAGCAGTTCATGTTATTCAAGAATCAATTCTATTTGATATTTAATATTTATGTCAAGCAGAAAAGTCTTTGAGGTCTGTTAATAACTTCATGTTATATGTCATAGTACAAGTAAATTTTATATAACATAAAAATATAATTATACTTTATTGAAGGCTCATCAAACTTAAATTCTGTATCAGTACTCTCACCAGGAGCTTTTCCAATTGAGTATCATATTCTGTAATATTTTAAGCCATCAAAAAAAATTAAAGGTAGGTAGAATAAATATTTTTGTGATTATTTTATAAGGACACTGAGTGAGAGAAGTTAAAGTTAAAATATAGAAAACTTTAAGAAATCCAGAAAATATTTAGGCAAAAAGATACCTAGGTTTTAACTACATGTGTGAGTACATTTTGGAGTATGTATGATAGTTAGAACTTTTAAATCACTACTGTATTAATTTCCTTAGATACTATGCTCATTTAGAAGACTGACTTTAAATTACATTGAATGAGTTATGTCTGTGAAAATGGTGAAGTATGGAACTCTGAAAATTCTCGCTTTCTTAAAAGTAATGGGGAAACTGGCAAAAATGGTTAGAATCAACTTGTTCAGAATTCTGGATATTAAGAGAGCTTATTTTTGGACTCTATTCAGTTTCCTTGAACTTTCTATTCCTGAGCTGGTAAGCTATCAATTAATTCTTGTACTTCTAGAGTACATTTTGGTACCCAGCATGGCATAGCTCAGCTTATTATTCTTTTCCAGATATTCTTAAGTTTTTATTAGTTTTACATTAGATTACATTAAATCCACAGATCATTCTGGGAATTAATACCTTTGAAATACTAGGTTTTGACACTCAGAAATAATACACGACTTCACATTTATTTTGGTTTTCTTGTATGCGTTTGCAAAGCTTTATAACTTTATTCATATAACTTTCCATATTTCTTGTTAAATTTATTCTTTTGTTTTATATATTTTATTATGGAAAATAGAGAGATTTATTATTTTTATGTTATATACTTATTATTGCTAATATAGATAAAAAACTCTTCTTTGTTTGTTTCCTTTATTGACTTATCAAAAATAGATTTTATGTATCATTTTTCTTGTTTTCCTGTTTATATAAACATATTATAGTGAGGAAAACAAGAATATTTATTTTTTTTTCTAGTGTGATATTCATACCTTTAATTGCTGTTTCTTATGTTATTATACTAGATAAAAATCTCCAGGTTAGCCCTAACCGGTTTGGCTCAGTGGATAGAGCATCAGCCTGCAGACTCAATGGTCCCAGGTTCAATTCCGGTCAAGGGCATGTACCTTGGTTGCGGCTACATCCCCAGTGGGGAGTGTGCAGGAGGCAGCCGATCGATGTTTCTCTCTCATCGATGTTTCTAACTCTCTATCCCTCTCCCTTCCTCTCTGTAAAAAATCAATAAAATATATTTAAAAAATCTCTCCAGGTTAATATTTAATAACTCTAGTGGTTGGATAATTATTGCTTTATGCATTTGATATTATTTGTTCACAAAATGACAAAGTGTATATTTTTAGTAGACTACAGAAAATTTACATATGTAAGGACATGGAACATACATACATACAACTTCATTAATGACATAGCTTCTACTGGAATTCTCCCTTTGGCTTGCATTCAAGCCCTTTACTACTCTAGTCTGCTTTTCTTTAGGGGACAATCAGTGATTCCAATGAGTAGAATTTCATGTTGTTTTGTTAAAATATTATTATTTAATTTACACTGTACTCAAGCCTGCTGGGTGTACATACACACAGAACAGAAGCCTCACTCTCCACCACCAAACCAAGGCTAGAAAAGAATAAATGACTAAATCAAGGTGAACAATACACTCTTCACTCTAATTTGATGTCATCACATGTATTTGTTTGTTACATATACAGGGTGTCCAAAAAATGTATACACACTTAGACTTTGAGTGATTCTAAACATACAGTTCATTTTTGAAACTTAAAATAATCTACAGAAATGAATAATTATTTTGGCAATGCCTGTTCTAAAACTGACAACCATTCTTGCCAGGCACTGCTGATAATGTGAAGCAATGGAATCACAAATATTAAGAATAATTTCACTTGGTATTTGTGTGCCCTCAATTCACCCACTGTTGCTGGTTTTGTAATGATAAACTTTATCTTTTATGTATCCCCATAAAAAAAATCTAGTGGCACTTTAGGATAAATTTTCTTTGTTCAAAGCTTAGTCTGGCTCCATTATTTTAAATCAGTTAAACCTGAAAAGGTATGAAAATTGAGTCATCAGCTATTAAAGTATATATACATTTTTGGGACATCCTATATAAGACTGCATACATAATCCTAGGTTCACAGATATACAGAGCATGTAAAAATATCAGATCAAGTATATTTCTCTAGCACATTCTCAATTAAAAAATTAAATGTGAATTAAATCAATTCTTGTTAGTATAGTTATTAGGGAGCTATTGAGTTAGTAAATATGACATCACTTTACTTTCAAGGAAACAGGTGATTTGACTGCAAGAAGTTCTTTCTTGAAGATGTGTCTAGTGATTTTTGAAGTTTCAAAGACAATATTCTGTCTGCACCTGTGTGAATGTTTTGTCAGAACCAATTATAAAATATATAATTATATGGATGTTGACTAATTGAAGCTAAACCCAATGGAACTGCCAGAGAGTTGAACAAATTCTAGCACATGAGGACAGTTGCTCTGATAGATCAAGTTTCATTAAAACTAATGATGTCAATCACCTGAAGAATCTGGCTGATATTTCCACATTATAGACCAAGATTCAAACACCATTCCACGCCATCAGAGCCACATTTTACTGTGGCAGAGAGCATGTGCTCCAAACAGTTTCTTTCAGTATAATTATGCAGCATAATGAGACACTGCCTTTACTGTGGCTATATTTTTATTCAACTGGGCATCTTTATTGAAAGGTTTTATTCTTGTGGTACCAACAAAATCATGTCTTTATGGAAACTTCTCCCTTTAGAGCCCTGAAAGTAGTCCCAGAAGCAAAACCAGGCTATTTGGGGATTTTGCTCTTCTCCTAAATCTGTCCGGAATGCCTGCCCTGTGTGGAGAACTTACCTGATATGCAAGGATTCCTGTTGCCTCCTAGTTCATGTCAGCCATTGTGACATACAAAAACATGTCTTTTGGCATTTTGAAAACCCCTGAAGAGAGGCTGAAAATTAGGAGTCAAGGAATATTGTTGCTAAGTCACCTATATATCTTCTGGAATCTAAATCTATGCATCTATAAAAGCTGTACAGTATAGAGTTCTGTAAGATAATCCAAGAGGAACCCAACAAGGGTCATTATTGTGGAAAATATTTGTAGTCCCCTAATGTATTTTGAAATTATTTGCTTATTTCAGTAAAAGTTTCTCCAAAAGAATCATAGTTAATAAATTTTGGCCTAGCTTCTTACCCACCCCGACACCCCTTGAGTAGACTTTAGGAGTAGGGACTGGACCTTGAGAATGGAATACACTAGTAGCTCAAACATGAAACTTACTGGTGGCCAAATTTTTAGGAATAAGGTTGGGGAGCTGGCAGGTTTAAGATGAGCTATTAATGAATTGCTGCTCTTTCTCTGCTCAGCTATTCATGCATATCATTTTTAGCAACATTCTCCAAGAAATTTCCAAGCACTGTTTCCTCTGGAGAAGTAGGAAAGAAATATTTCCTTCTCAGCCCTTTCCAGTATTCATGTACATAACCATAAATACATTTATGTTGCTTTCTGCATATCCAACTGGAGAAACTGTGAAGAATAGAAGCTGGTTTTAATACCATCGTGGTAAATGTACTCTTTATGACTAGTTACTTCCCTCTCTCTGCCTATATATGTTTTTAAATCATATTTAAAACTTCATATTATGATTGTAACAGGCTCATTTTTGTTACAATTCTATCAAGTTTGCCTATAACACAGACAGTGACTTTGCCAAATGAAATTAACATCTGGATATTAGCCTCAATGACAAAATGCCGATTTCTTAAAAATGTATTTTATATTTTGGCATTAGAGTAAAATAAGGAGAAAGGGTCATTCCTTTATCTCACACCTCAGGATACCTCTGGGAGACAGATCTTGGATTAACTTTCTCTCTTAAGCACATCCCGATTGTGCATTTCTTTCTCTTCTCACTCTGTTCTCCCCAGACACAGATACACAGTATTTTGAGCTGTCAATAATCTGAAATCATTACTAATTACCCACCTATTTAATTTTATAGTTAGGGCATTTTAAGGTAAAGAAGGTTAATTTTAGTGTTCAGCTTCTAGGTCTGTTTTTGCTCATTATTTTATCTCTCTTACCCAGCCAAGTACCAAGCACATAGAGGGTTCTCAATTAATATTTGTGAAATAAAGATGGAAATAAGTAGAGGTATATTAAGGAAAGATATTGGAAGAAAATGGAATTTCCTTTTGTTCATTTTTTGAGTAAGATCTATGAGCCATTAGTGTTAAAAAAAAGAAAAGAAAAAAACCCAGCATCGGTGTCAGCACTATAGATGTTAGAATTTCTGTCAGCTACTGTATTTTTCTCAGCATTATTAACTAATAACCTTAATAATTTTCCCTGGGAATACATCTTTCAGCACTATTGAATTATACTATATAAAGTGCAAAGATTGTCACTGATTAGACTAATTGCTGTCTATTAAAAGCATTAGGTCAGCTAGATCTGTGGAAAGAAGTCCTACTCTGCTTTTACTCACACCAGGTTAATAATCATGGTACATTATGTGATGTTAAATGGATTTTTTTAGGTTCCTCCAAAATTATTACCCACTGAATACTTTTACAGGTACCTGTCAGAACAATTCTTGGCTAAGGTAAATTTAAATATCATGGAAGGATTTCAAGGATTTTTGCACAACTATACCAATGGCAATGGAGGTCTCTCAAATGTTGTGAGTAGTGTTCATGTTTTCAGTTCAATATAGGGCTTAAAGATGGAAATGAATGGTGATTAAATGAATCTTTGAAGAAGGTTTATACCCATTGTGTACATCTACATATACACATTTTACTGCCTTTCCAGTGTTTATTTAAGATGGTGACACAAATAGCTCTCAGCCTCTTTAAGGCTTGCTAAATCCAGCTCTCTGGTTATCTAATGAATTTTCCAATTTATCCTTACTAATAAAGTCATTAAATTCTGTTTCACAAAATTTACTAGACTACAGTAATGGAAACTACAAAGCAAGAAACATTT